ATCCTGAACAGTTTCATTAATGTAAATATTACCAGAATCTAAAGCCATGTGCCACTTTCCAGAATGCCTTTGGCCTCCTTAGGAACAGCAATGACTTCCTGCCTAACAAGCTGAGGAGAAGAAAAATCCAGGATATCCTCACATAACTTCACTGAACTTGCTCCTCCAAGTAAAACTAGGAGCAAAGTGAGAGTTGTGTCTGATAGGATACAATGGAATGTGCAAAAAAAAAAAAAAAGTAAAAGATCCCTGTGTCACTGAAGCTCACTGATGTGATTTCTCCAGCAAGTCATGTGTTGCAGAGCTTGAAATGTTTGCTCTCTATGGGACTTGTCATTTTCTTGGTTATTCTTGTCTACATTCCAGTGTTTTGGGACTTCACGTTAAAGCACAAAAATGTCTTATTCAACATGCCCTGCATGTGGTTAAATGACTCATACTAATGCAATGGAAATCAACAACTTCTCCAGCTGTAGGCGGTACAACGGTACAGTTTGGCTAACCATGCAAGACAAGATAATATCAGAAAGTGACAGCTTAGAAACATTTTGAAAACAATTGGGAGTGTAATTTTGGGAGGCTTTGATGAAAGTGAGTTAGATCCACACCCAAGTGGTCCAGGCATATCTCCATCAGGCAAAGCAGGACTTTCCATTGAAAAGACAGCTTACACTTCTAGAGGAGTCTTGCTACTTGGAATTGCAGCCAGGCCTATTCTGAATGGTGGTTCCTCTCTCCCTGCTCCCCCACGTGTATGGATGTGCATGCATGTGTAAAATGCATCAACAAAAGCCCTTATCTTCAGAGGTCCTTGTCTTCTTCCTGGCTTGGCATGCTGGCTTTTTAAACAGCAAAAGAGGAGTAGGTGTTTTCTCTCCTTTGCCCATCACTACCATGCTTCCTGGGTATGGGGAAGTCGCCATAAGACCAAAGGTTACAGCACCAGATAGGGGAGGCTTCATTGCTTGCAGCTTTTGACAGCACTGCCAGTTTAAGTTCTTTCTACATTATTGGCTAAAACTAATGTTAATTTACCTTTCAGCTTTCTGTTGTTGTTTTTTAATGTCAACTGGAAGCAAGGGAGTGAATGTTAGCAATAGGTTCAACTCCCTGATCAAAAACAGAGGCAGTCAGTTTTATTGAGCAGTTTCCTTAAAAAAAGGGGAAAGAAAGCTAGCCAAAAAGGCCACACCACCCAGAGACAACAGCACACATACAGTGCATGATGTCATATCCTGAGTCCTCCCCACCACCCTCCCCATCTTGAAAGTCTTACAGGAAAATGTTGGTCACAGTAAACAAGTGAGCTGATCAGGCCTGTGTAGCTTCTGCTTGCTCCATTCCGTCTTGAAGAATTCAATTGAAAGGCTCTGAATTCGTTACAGTTCAAAGGAAGGAGGCTCCTAAGCACAGTGAGTACAGAAAATTCAACCGTTATTGAATCATGCAGAGGGATGCAATTTAGAAATGTGAACTTCCATGACAAACATAGAATATTACCCTTATGTGTAAACTCAAGCAGAAAGGGAAAATGGAGATTTTTTCAGAACTTGATGAAATGCACATAAGACAAGCCAACCACATCTTTAGGTCTCCAAGGTTTAGGGAAAATATGCTTCCTGGAAATATCTAGCATTTGTATTAATATGGAAAACAAATTGCAGTCTTTTAGTTGAAATACTCAGACTGTTTCACACAGCAAAGTTTTAAAAATATGCAGCAGTGGGGCGGAGGTAGAGACTGGACACCACATTCTTGCCTTTGAAATTGTGAAGTATACTTTTGACATAAATTCAGAGTATTCCCACAAATATGCATAATATAATTCAATTTCAGAACCTAGATTTTGAGATTGGCGGAGACAACATTCTAAATTGGCTGTTACAAGTTTGTTTCCATTATTTTAAAGGTAATTTAGTTTGGTAGAATGTCCCGTGTCACTTACAGCATTTTTTATTTTGTAGGATCAATGAAAGTACTGATACCCTGATCCCAGTATTGCCATTATTCATTTTATTTTTCATTTACAAAATGATCTGTGTTTTCTGGGTGAATTCCAAACAGTTCAAAGACTGAAATGCCACATAAGCTATTAAAATGCAAAATACAGCACAAATACAAGTACTTAAAAAAATATACTCATAGTACAAATATTTAAATGAATACAATACAGTGGTGTGTTTATATTGGACTTTTGTTAGTTCCTCAAATACTATGGGTTTATTCCAGTCTAATTTGTTTGCTCTTAGGCGTCATTGAAGTTAATATGTAAAGTTAGTCATGCCATAGATCCAACTAATTAAGGCTGCGATCTTATGTTTCGGGCTTACACAGTGATGAAGTGACTGCAATCCGAGGGCTGCAATTGGGAATATGATCCAGAAGGTAGACTTACTCTTTTTGAAACTTCCTGATGATGGGGCCTGGGTTTTATGGCAATGCACAAGCAAAAGGAATGGCATCACTGTCTAGTTTTCAGAAATTCTGTGATAAGGAGTTTGGCTACAGAAATAGTACATATTAACAGGTTTTGGCAACATACTCTGTCTTGCTGCAGGAATAAACTATTACAGCTTAATTATGGACAGCCTGCAGATTTCAAATGAAAACTTGACTCTTCACATAGCATCCTTTGTGAAGTGATGAGCAGATAAAGTACAGGAGACCAAGCAAAACAAATTGGGAACAGGAATGTTTCAAACTGTTTTCTGTTAATTCTTTTCTAAAATATAGAAGCTGAGCAGATGCATCAAATGTGAATTACTAATTCTCCTTGATATAAACCCAAAATGTCACTGCTTCCTCCTCCTCACCATCCCAATAATGTGTAAATGCACAGAGTAACTTAGTATTTGATTTCAGAACAAACAGAAGAAACCGTATAGTAGATTGCTATACAAATTATCTTGCTGGATCAGACCAGCTAAAGCAAGTCCATCTAATCCAGTGTTGTATTTCTAGCCAGAAACCACGGGTGCTTCCCAGCACAGGGCTCCAGATGCTAATATTAAGAAAACATTGTAAGGCAGAGCTGCACTGATCAAATCAGGTATCCTCCCGGGCCATCCTTCTGCTCACACAGTGGCCAACCAGCCACCCATTAGATACCAAAGCAGGGCATGAGTACAAGAGCACCTTCTGCCAAAGTGCTCCAGCAGCCGCTGTACATAGGCACACTGACACTGGAGGTAGCATACAGCCATCAGGATTAGTAACCACTGACATCCTTGTTCTCCATGAATTTGTCCAACTCCCTTTTAAATCCATCCAAATTAGTGACTACCATTACCAAGACCCCAACTTTTCTTCCTTTCTCTGGTAGGAAAAAAGATAAAGTGGTGAAAAAACACAGGAGGGTTACAACTGGAAGATGACAATATCTGGACTCCGTCACCATACAATACCAAGAATTAAGCAGGACAATGGCATGATTCAAAAAAAAAAAAACCTTGCCTGGAAACATTCCAGGCACTGCAGTGATAACACTGAGAGTTGCACTGGCTCTGTACACCCAGGCCCTATCGAGCTACGCTGTCAAATAGCTTCTTTAGTTCAAAAATGGAAGGGAGATTCATTCTTATTTTCCAATGCACGGACATGAGCGTCAAGGCAGGAAAAGAAACATATCAAATGTAACAGAAGGACTGCCTGTAATTCTTCCTTTTAATTGGGAATACGCCAGAGAAATTATCCTTCTTTATTCTTTTGTCCAGTGTGCTACAAGTAGGGCTGGGCAGTGTTTGGAAATGCTAGGATCCTCCCAACATTCAGCATTTTGTGTCTGCTTCCTGTACACACTTGTGTTTGCTACTCACCGTTTGTAAATGGGAAACCTGCATGAATTGAGTAGTCGGACAATGAGAGATTTGTGCAAGCCCCCTGCATAAGATGCAGCTGATTCAGTCTGTTGAGGTTATTGGCACCAATTAGGACACTGGTGCACATTGACCTGGGATTTAGGAGCGAGATGAATGCAAGCATGTTTTTGACAATTTGTGAATATGTTCAGTAGAGACATGCTCACACTCATGTGCAGAACTTCAAACAGGGTATGTTCACATGTTTTGTGAGGAGAAATGGAACATTGCTTATCTACAAAAATATGGAAGTAAGTCCAAAATAGAGCTATACACCATGGAAACAAGTGAGAAGCAGCTAAATGAAGGTGCGAGGAGGAAGAAAATGCAAGCATTGGGGAAGATTGTGGGTTGAGAGCTATGTTATACTGTAATATATGAACAACTCAGTATGTGACATGCTGTATAAGTCACACACTATTAATCAATACATATTGTAGCCTAAGTTAGGAACAGGGTGATGTGCTGAGTGCGCCTCCACACCAAAACAAAATTATCTCCATTGGAAAAAAAACAGCATGACTCAGAGAAGGCTAGGCAAAAACCCTTTCCCGACATGTGATTTTCTCAGCAGAGGAATGTATTTATTTTTGGTACAGTGAAGCATCATGCAAACCTGTTACCTGTATTTGAGATGGTACAGCCTCAGTAAGAGCAAGGACTCATCACAGAGTCAATGGGGACTTGAATCAGGGAGCAGATCTGGGGGGCTTGGTCCAGGCAGAATATAGCTAAAAACCCTGTGCATATAAGGTGGAAGGGAAGGGAAGGGAAGGGAAGGGAAGGGAAGGGAAGGGAAGGGAAGGGAAGGGTGAGTTTGATTTTCTGCCAACAGTGCAAACAATAAGCTAAGCTACTTTCTCCCTCCTACTCTTGTTATGGTAAAGCAAAAGGATTTGTGCGTTTATGATCTCTTCACAGCCAGCTTTTGCAATAAGGGTGGGGGGGAGCTTAAAACTGGAAAAAGTAGCCACAACATGCCAGTGTGGTGTAGTGGTTAAGAGCACGGGACTGGGACTCAGAGGATCTGGGTTCTAGTCCCCGCTCAGCCATGGAGCCAACTGGGTGACTTTGGGCCAGTCACAGACTCTCAGCCCAACCTACCTCACAGGGTTGTTGTTGTGGGGATAAGATGGAGGAGGAGAACGATGTAAGCTGCCTTGAGCCCTTTGCACGAAAAAGGCACGATATAAACAAACAAACAAACAGACAGACATGCTCAGAATGGCTTGCAATTGCAGTGGGGAGCGGGACAAGCCAGTGCCTGCTGCCTCGAAGGACTGCTTGGGTTCGCTGCAGTGGCTGGTACTAGTGCTTGTCTGGGAGCTGCCTGGCAAGAACAGAAAGGGGGTTTTGCCACACTTGCCAAGGGGTCCCTAGTGAATTCCCCATGGACACAATAGGGATGGTCAGCCAACAGTGGGTACAACAATGCCTACATGTGTTCTTCGGGTGGCTTGTTGCCTGTGAAAGAGTCGGCCTGGGGAAATAGGAACCCACGGTGGGTAGCAACCCCTGAAGGGTTCTTCTGCCAGACAGTTCCAGTTATTGTCTTTCATTTGTAACCTTCCCATATTTCCTTGTCACTTCTTCTGTCTTTTCTTTCCCCACAACAAGATGTGATCAGGAGGGAAGAGACAAGGCCTTTCAGTTACTAGTGCTAGGAATCCTCCACCTGGAACATCCTGAGTGGCCAATTTGTGCAAAGGAAAGGAAGCTCTTGTGTCTTAAAACAGTTGTGTAGCCCAAGGAATTTTGGAAGGTTTGGCTTGCCAGGGAGTGGGAAAAAGAGCTACTCCTCCAGAAATGCCCTCTGAGATCTCCATTGAGCATGATCACCTTAAATTCAAGCACCTACATGTGAATGTCATTTGATCAGCTGAATTACATTTTAATGCATTTCAAACATATCTTTGTGTATGCAGTCTGTGTGGACAGAGTAGGGAAAGGGATGTGCTGGAAGTGGTGTTGAAGCATATAGCCTAGAGTTGATTAGAAATTTAACAGGATTATTCTCTCTTGTTCCCAATACAACAAAATGCCAGCCACAGATGCCAGTTCAGATGACCAACATAGGCTAAACATGCCATGGTGCTTTGCTTAAACCTTAGTGTATGCAGGTGTGATTTGAGTAATCACCCACCCTGCCATGGCTTATTATATTTGCATCCAAGAAGCATGGAAATATGGGAAACTAGCCCATGAGTTGCTGTTGGGTTGAGGATTATTTCTCCCTCAAATATAGCATGCCACCAGTGTTCAGGTGACATGCAGCCAGCTGAATGATTATGTAGATCATGCTCAGCACATAGAAACATAGAAAACATAGAAACAGTGAGTCAGAAGGGTCCTCCTGGGCCATCTAGTCTGACCTCCGGCACTAGCTGGCTCCGCTCACGACATGCTGGGGCTTAGGCAACTAGGGCTTGTTTAGCCTATGATGATCATCTGAACTGGGTCCTAGTCTTTTAAGAATTGAGCCTTCACCAAATGCAAGCAAAAGCCAGTCAGCAGTAGCACAAAGGACACTTGCAGGCACAATTATGACTGAGGTAGGTTAGGCTAGAACAGCTTTCCCCTGTGTGTGCTTTCCAGATGTTTTAGACTACAACTCCCAGCATTTCACACTGTTGCAGCTGGTGGGAGTTACAATCCGAACCATCTGGAGGACACCAGGTAGAGAAGGCTGGCCTAAAATGTCAGGGTAGGGATAGTAACAAGGAAAAGGGCAGAACTCTAGTATGGACGGAATTTATATTAGAAATACTTTGTGGGAGGAACAGAGAGTAGTGCCAATCTGATTAAATGGCAATACTGGCCTAGATGTGCCAATGCACAGATTCATACATATGGAATTAGAAAAGCTGAATTCATACTTTGACTGTGTAAGAGGATGCTAAATATATATGTGTGGTCAAATAAGCCAGCGTCAGGATCTAGCCAAGGTAGTTATTTGGGTCCCCAGGGAAACTAACTATTCTTAAGACAAGCTGATGCAGTTTTATATTCTTACAAGGACTTAGGATGAATTTCTTCTGCTTGCACCCTGCAACAGTGAATTCTTCTCGCAAACGGCAGTATAGAACTAATGTAATACTTAGGCTGCTGCTTGCTTGGACGATCAATAATTGCTCAATAAATCATTCTTTTAGGTAGGGAGAATATCCATGCATATGATGCAAAGGACAGTTCCAACAGAGCTAGGCGGAAAAAAGTCAAGGAATGGTTAACATTTACATTAGACAGAAGAATACATTTTCCATTGCTTAATAGTGGCATTAGAGGAAACTTGCTTAATCAACCAGCAGAACAGACTTAACTCTAAATGGAGGGGAAATGGCTGTAATTTCCTTTAGGCACATCTAAAGGACACAGAGAAATGGCTCCCAAGCTGTACTGGAGCCTGGCTAATTTCTACAGAGAGGGTGTTTATATGACAGAAAGTAAGAGCGAAAGAGAGAGCTGGTTCAGATGTATGATGAGCCATGGTTAATTACAGTTTGTTTGAAGCAAGCTAAATTCAAATGATGGGTTTTGATACTGTCTTGTTTCAACAAACTATAGTTCTGAGTTTGGATGTAATACTAAACTGCAATTAATAAGAAATGGAAGTAAAAGTGTCTGATCTCCTCTTAGCTATGCCAGAGGAAAAGGGGTGAATGTCCTTGAGGCTTGTTCCCGTTGTGATAAACCATGATTTTCTGTGACATCTAAACTGGTCTGGACTGTGACTACTCTGCAGGGAGGAAAAGAGTCACTCCCACTCTGTAGGGAGTGACTTCAGGCACTCTGTTGGTACTCCTTTTTTGGAGGACCTGAGACGCGAGTTCCAAGGATGGGCTCTACAAACACAGGATCGAATAAAGCCCAAGAATACAGTCTTCTTAGAGACATTCCAACATATCCTGTGTCCCACTGGGGCATGAAAAAGGGGAGAGGATGTCTTGTCCAGTTATGGGTCTTTTAAATAGTTCAAGCTGGAGAATATGTTTCCACTTCCACTTTTGCTGCTTTGCATAAGTATGCAGTCTTGTGCATATTTTCAGAATAACCAGCTGGACTTCCTGCCAACTTCCATAGTTATTTGTAAGCAGTAAAGCAGTAAAGAAATGTAGTCTGGTGGAAGATGGAAAAGAAGTGCCCCCCTCCTGTTAACTTCTTTCTTTGCCAGGCTCCATTTCCGTTTGCTTTATTTCCCCGCCATCCAGGAATGTGCCTATGCCGAGGCTGCATCTGTATCAACCTTTTCCAATGTAGTAACATCCAGCTAAAACTTCTATCAGTTAATAGTCGGAGATTATGGGAACTGCACCCTGAAACATCTGAAGGGCATTGTTCTGGGCTTTTTCAAAATGAGCTGGTCTGGATGAGACACCTGAGGCTGTACTGAACAGTGTGTGACATGCATCCATTTGTACAGGGATAAATTGTACAAACAACACCTTCTGGTCAGGCCTTATTATCATAGCTATTGGCTGTGGAGCAAGCCAACCACACATGCAGTTTGTGGGGAGCTACATGAGCTGAACGGGCATGTCTGAGTGCTTTCAAATGCAGACACACTGCTTTCAGTTCTGCCCATGGTCAGTGCCATCTTCCTCAGCCTAGTCCTCCAGATGGCTAGACTAAAACTTGCAAGTTCCCTGACCACAGATGGGAATTGAGGGCCAAAACATCTGAAGACACAGGGTTAGGGAAGGTCAATGTCCAGTGATGTTAGGAAGAGAGGTCAGTACCTTGTTCAATAGGGACATCTAGGGCTGGACACTGGGGCCACAGACCGGTGCCCAATGAAAGCAGCAGGTCTCAGGGCAGCAGAAGCAAGCTCTTATTTCATTCCTGTAGTAACCATGGCTTAAATAATTTGAGTTTAAAATGCAAACGTGCACATGCTTGGAATACTTTTTAAAAATCAAAATCAGTGAACTGTGTTGTCTTAACATATCAGGAATGTAGAAGCAGTTGCAAAGCATGAAATGGCTGGGTGGAGGGAGAAGAGAAATGTTCACCATATGATACATATGGCTGTCTAAATAGCCCCAAAAGGACCATAAAGTCTGAGGTCTAAAATTACCTAGCAGCATCACTGATCATGTCCAACTGTCTTTGACATCCACAATCCAATTAATCAATTTGCAGGAGCAGAGTTGAAACAGAGATGGCTATGCACAGCATATAAAACAAGCACGAGTCCAACCCCCACCTTAGAAGGGCTGAAACCTTTGTGAGCTGAAAACATGAATCTGAGCATTCCAGTAATTTAATCTGAGAACTGGTAATTTGGCCCCAGACTTGCTACTGCAGACTAATCGAATGACTGAAATACAGCCTGATAAAACAACCACCAGAACAAAGCTGATTTTTAATGTGCCTCCTTTTGCGCTGAAAGCTCCCCCCTCCCCCTGGTGATGAATGGGAGCATGCAAAGGGAATTTGTAGAAAAACTACAGCTATCCAATTTGAACAGAAAGACTCTGCAGAATACAGCCACTGCAAGAATAGCATCTTCCTACTTGCTAAGAAAAAAAAAGGGGGGGTGGGGTTAGGATGCAGCAGCATTTCAGAAACGTAGCACACTATTATGGGATCCAACACGTACAAGCCATGATTGCAGCAATCAGCATCTGCCTACAGTGTCTCACACTGCAAAAAGCAATCAGGAAATACTTCATCTCTGAAAGGCCTTGTATAGACCAAGTCATGGAAGAAAATGGAGAGAAAGAGAAGGAATCACAGATGTTATAATCAGATAGTAGGTTTTATATTTTAATGTAAGAAACAACCTAGAACATAAAATAAACTAACCAGAATGTTTACGGTCTAAAGAAAAGCTTAAACTATGGGGAAAATGAGAAAATGGTGGGGACAACAGTCACAGCCTCCATGGCATTCTGACCCTGCTTTCTCCTTTACCTGATCTATGGAGTTTGCAAGTAGAATAGGAACGTGCCCTTTAAAGAACATCATGGGTGGGTGGCTTGGGAGGGAGAACTCCTGCAGCCCGGTTCAGAAATCATGGCTTCTTTATATATCTCTCACATTTTCTCTACTTACAAGGAGCTCGAGGTGGAGTACCTGCTCCCCCTCTGGTCTGCTTTACCCTCACAAACTCAGGTGGATTGGGTCAGGTTGAGAGTCAGCGACTGACCCCAAAGCACCCAGCAAGTTTCATGGCTAAGTGGAGACTAGAACTTAGTCTTGGACCTCCGGAATCATAGGTCGACACGCTAACGGTTACGCACTAGCCATTATACCACATTGACTTTCTGCTAGGGAATAGGTCATCATCAGTGCCCTTCCTCTCCTCTTTTGCATGCCAAGGAAATAGTAACGATATAGAAAGGAGGGTAGGGGCAGATCTGAAATAAAAGCTCAATCCTAGTTTGTTCTCTTGCTTAAATTAATCTATCATTTAACTACATCCTACAGATTAAGTACACTGTAGTTCAGATGTCATCTAGTTCACAGGGAACCACCATTAGCTTAAAAGCAAAAGTAGATGCTTTCATTGTCTGCCTCTGATCTGCAAAAGACTGGAGGGGAAACATGTGAGCCTGAAAGCTTCTGCAGGCTTTTTCACATAGCACAAAATTGTTTCCCATTATATCATATCTGAGTCTACCTAGCACTATTTCAAACAGGTTACTTAACTCAGGAAATGTCTCCAAATGATTCTTCCCTTCCTATTATCTCAATTCAGCATTTTACCACTAATATGGAAACCATCAAGAAAAGGACCTATAATGTGCATAAGGAAATTCAGCATTGTGAATCATACTTCTGCTTGCACAGCATACATTTCCCTACCTCAAAATCTGTTCAAGAGAGTCTCCCAACTACCAGGGCAGATTTGGAAGCCAGAGGTGGAACTGAGAATCACCCCCTTCTCATTCTGCTGATGGTAGTTGCTCCATCAGAAGAACATTTAATACTTTGTCACCAGAATGTGGCAAGTCAAACTCTTACACTTATTTTTATTCTAGAAAAAGCTTAAATTTCCTACAATTCAGATTCTTTTGAGAACAGGACCTTTCAAAAAATAACTGGCAAACCTAAATCTGTTTTTCTTGCTTTCCCCAGTCACAATTTTCAAAATGCCTCTAAATTCTGGGCAAACAATTCTTTATTCTGGCAGGCCTTGGAAACTTTCACACTCAGTTTTTTCAGTTGATGTTGGTCAGGGTCAAAAGCACAGAAGTCATTCCATCTGAATGCTTGACCTATCCAGTTTTCCATATGTAAGTTGCCCCAGGACATAACCCTTTTGATTCTTTAAAAAATGGTGATGTACATGTCAGAAGATGTAGCACATTATTTATTACATTTATTTACCACCCCATAGCCCAGAGGGCCATTCTAATGAATGAAGCAAAGAGGATGGAAAACAAATGTGAATGAAAAGGAAGACCCCTAAAAGAAAGATCTTGCATACTACATGCAGCTACAAAGAAGCCTGAGAAATGTTCAAATGTTCATGATGTGCAACAGCAGCTTACATTCCATCCTTCCGTATTTTCATGCAGCATGTTTAGTGGATGGTCCTTAATGATGTGCTGGCCCCTCAGATGTTCCTGCCACACTTCATGGCAAGCAGGCGCAGTGTGACAAGCACCAGCACAGGATGTGCCATCACACATGAAGTGGGCCTGCATCTTCAGGAAATCTCCCAGCTAGTGTCATTACTTACACTTCTGAGATATATCAGCTGAATCCAAAGTAAACTGGATCCTGCTTTCTCCAGCTGTCTGTCTTCTGGTTTTTCTTTAATACACTCCATTGAAAATGCAAGGAGCTGGTCACATAGGTCCTATAATATTGTCCCAACACACACTTTTTTTGTACAAGCCAGTACTATCCACACTTACTCAGTAGTCCCATTTATTGTTATGAGCATTACATTACATGCAAACCCTGCCTTTCTTCCTCTTGCTAATAACCCAGGAGAACCCTCCATTGATGTGTTTTACCATCACAACGGCCCTATGTGGTAGATTAGGCTAAGTCTGTGATTGGTCCAAAGGCATTCCTGACTGAGTGGGGACAAGAACGCACATGTTCCAAGTCCCAGTCCAATACTCTGACAACTATGTGACACTGGCTTTCTTTGTCCAGATTCAGGAGCTGCAGGCCAAACCCTTGCATATTTATTCAGAAGCTCAACAAGGTTAACCCCAAGAAAATGTGTTCACATACCTATTTTTCTTGACTTTGAACCATAATCCAGTCCAGAACAAGGAATTCAGCAATATTATTATTGTTATTATGCTGGCACTATGAGCAGAAATAGCAGACCAATCACAAGGTAAGTGTTGTAGGCCTTAGAGGCACCAAAGTGGCTCATTAATGAGTAGAGTTAATTGAAAGTGTGAGTGAGACCATTATACACAGTGGTGTGCTAGTGATTTACCATGGTCATAATTAGCTGCTGACATTTAGACTTCTAATGAAAAGATAATTTCAACACCTGCTGACAAGTTTCTATCAAGTGTAGCTGATTAAGACAGAGAAGCAATGCACAATATTTGGATAATAAGGAGTAATCACCCCCGCTTTCTCAGCCTTAAAGCCAAGTATAGCCACAATGGTTCAGTATGCATATCACCTTCAATATGTCTCTGTGTATTATATACAGCGATATGCTAGTAGTAATCACTGGAGGATTCTTTCAGTGATCTGGAGTGGCCATGTTAAAAGCAACAGGGCTTCTCTTGGGTGATTTTAGCTTAGCTGTTGCAGTTCTCAGTCTGCATAGTAATTTTAAAACTTGGCATTATTGGTCAGGGTCTTTCCTAAGTGACCATTGATACAATTTTCAGAAATTCTATTAGTATTCCAGGTACCGGCTTTATTGGCTCAGCATACTACTTCTTCATTTCTGTTAACAAAAGAGATAGTTCTGACTTGCACATGAGAATGACTGGCATCTTGCCTCCTGTGCCAGTGGGGTGGTGCATCCACTCTGGGCTTACTCTGAACTTTTAAGGGGCTGTCCATGGTATTGAATTCTCCCTGTCCCCCACCCCCTCAATTTAGTGCCATAGGTCACTCCTTTAAAGAATAAGCTAAGGCCGAGAGTGACACTGCATCCACCAACCGCTGCTGGATTCTAGCCAGCCATACCATGTTCCAAGATAAGCTCTGTCATCCCCCTTTTTCTAATTGTCACCATTCTATGGCCACTATGCATATTCAGTCCTCACTGGGTAGTTTTGGGGCTGGGGTGAATTGTCCCATTCTTTTTAAAGAAATGTTGCATTTCTGCTAACTTTGGGGTTTTCCCCAACCACGTGAGACCAGCCTCTTATTTCATAGTGACCTTATCCTGGATCCAGTCCAGGCACTTACTCTCCACATCGTTATTCTTGGGATTGATGTTGAACATGGATAAACATATACCGCTCCAGTATAGAAAATATTGAGGCTCCTTATGCATAAATTAAAAATGTTTACCGTAGTGTTTATGTATTTGAAAACTGAGGAGGAAACATTCTTAAAAAGAGCATGTTTTTCACTGGGGAAGCTTCTTAATGAAATATCTATCATGACTCACTAGCACGCTTTCATTTGTCATCATAACCATTTACCCAACATATAACATCTCAATCTGGATCCAGCCGAATGTTGATAAATACTCAGTAGTTTCACTCAGTGGTTTCCTTAATGTGCATATGGGTTGTTCTTCTTTTTACATATTACTGGTTCAACAGACCTTCCTTATTAAATAGGACTGCCAGCTTTTCAAGCAGCCTCCTGTGTGGAAATTAGCTGGTGACAAATTTCATCTCGGTGCAATCCAAAGACTCACCTGCTTATTTATGCTGCTAAATCTGTTAACACCCAACTCCAGGGGACAACTGAAAAATTGGCAACCCTACTGTTACATATTTTCAGCTCGAAATAGAAACTTTCACTTTACTTCTGTCTGCTGTAAATTAAGATGAGACTTTTTCTTTACAAAATTGATGTGGCTGTGAGAAAGAAATTTTTCCTCCACTCTGATTAGCTACCAGCAAGCCTGGTTTTTTTTTTTTTTTTTTTTGAGACATCCATTTTGTAAAACAGTTGGTTTTTATGCAATTTGAAAAATAATACTCTGGTAACAGTAGACAGAAGCAGAGTCTATCTGTTGCTGGCCAAGTAGAATTGTGTAGCGGGAACTCTTACTCCTTCAACAGGAGAATCACTCATGTAAATTCCCTGTTGGATGAAAGAAGCCTGTATTCATCACAACTATTTCTGTGAAATAGTCTTATTCTTCTAATGACTCGAGTTGATAACCATCCCATATCGACATTTGGTAAAGGTAGATGGAACCATTTATTTACTTATTTACTTACATACATGATGAATTTTTATCCTACCCATCAGCTGGAAGGGATGCTAAAGCAGCCTATGAGCAGTCAATAAAGTGAGGCAGTCCCTACCTGCACACAAGCAAAAAAGAGATGGGAAGGAAAGGCAGGGGTGAAGCAATGGTCTGCTTCCCATCATATCTCCCACTGTACAGCCTACTGAAATCTTGGTTGCTGCCAGTGGCAGCAGAGAAAAGAGAAGGAGCATACACAGGGGAGTTCTCTAAAAACAAACAAACCTCCCCACAAAACCTGGGGATAAAATAACAACAGAAACCCGGTAAATGAAATATTCTACCAAACCTTGCCATTATTTTACTAGATTTAAAGGTCCAATCTACATGTTACATTAAATTATCATTTGGCATTGCATTTTTAAAACATGAAATTTCACTTGCAGGAGGACCTGATCAGGATCCAGATCCAAGGTGGAAGATTTTACTTTAAACAAAGCCTTTACACTCCCAAGGCATGGGCTTAAAGGAAAATTCCTCCCTCAGGAATGCAAAATATGTGGCAGCTTCTCCTCAAAGGAAGTGGCAGGTTCCAGAGGAAACTAATGTTCATTGGGATCACAGGGCAGGACTAAAGTTCTTTTAGAAAAATCTTTCCCTTTTTGCATAGCATTTGGTTCATCCATTTGGCATGTAGAAACAAACTGAGCCAGTAAATCAAAAGTGAACAAACAGTACAGATTCTGAACCAAATAAACATTTTCAGAGGAAAAAGCAATCCAAAATTAAAAACTTAATGTGATATCAGTGCTGGCTGGGGGCTGGACTAGATAAGCTCTGAAATCCTTTCCAATTCTGTGATCTACTTTGAACACCAGTGTGTTTATTCAAAGTCAAATTCTCTGACTCAATTAGGGAAAAAAGCTTTAAAGACTAAGCCAGCAAAGAATAAATTGGTATACATGTTCAGAACATCATTCTACATTTCAGGTCTGAGCTCAACTAGACTCTCACATTTATGTTCAGAAAGGAGAAATGCACCATTGCCTTTGGAGACTGAAATAGCAGTATAAAAGTTACTTGCACAATCAGAATATTCTATGATACTAAATCAATATAAAAATGCACTGCAGCCCCAACAGTTAGAGTTGCCTAATGCAGTACAGGCTCCTGCACCTTTAGCAACTGTGCAAAAGGAATTTCAGCAGGTGCAACTGGTTGCCAAAGGTATTCTGGGTGAAATTCCAATCTTTGCACAACTATGAAAGGTACAGGAGCTTTGTCCTCTTTTTGCCTCTGCCCATCTTATCTGCACCTACTTCTGAAAGATTTAGGAAGACTGCGAAATTATAACACACACACTGCTAATGCAATTATCTGATTTAAGTTACAGCACCTGCTCAACCACTGCACCCGTTTTCAAAGAGAAAAAGACTAATATATTGTAATACGAAGCTGACTTCAGAAATTGAGAAAGAGACACAGAACTCTTGATTCTCACCTTGATCCTTTTAGGACCGTCTCCAAAATTTGAGCCAATAGGAATGATCCTATGCAAATTATTAAAGTTAACCATTGGTTCGATTTCTTGCCTGACAAAGGCAGGTAGCGCCGGCGGCCGCCTCATCGCACAGCCGCGCATTCTAACCTCAGCCCGTTCTCCGTTTTAGCCAATCGCTTTTCTTCCGCCTCCAAGAAGGCACGTGACCACGACCGATAACGCCCTCTCCTTTCCCAGGATGCGCGCAGGAGAGCACGCGAGTGTGGGCGTGAACGCGGGGAAGGGGCGTGGCAGATGTCACCCTCCCTCCCCCCCCCCCACAAAAACCCTCAGAGATTCTGTGCTCGCTTGATACGGCGCGTGGATGCGCGCGCCACGTTAATAACTTTTTGAAAGTGCATGCAAGAGGATGGTCCGCGGGGGCTACGTCTGCGTGCGCGAGCGCGCGGGGCCGCGCGTTCAACGCTCTGGGCACCGTCTTGAGCGTGGCTGCGTGTGCGCGCGCGCGCCCTGCTCCGGCACCCGCCCCACAGTGCAGGCAGCGGGCGCTTAAAGCTGCGGGTCCCGGGTGGTGGGGAGATCCTTTTGCTTGTCAGCTTCAGGTAACAAAAAAAGGGGGGGGGTGTGAGCAAAATACTCCTGCACAAATTTGAGAAGGGTTGCTGCGCTTTGCTTTTGTTTCTATCCGTGAACGTGAGAGAGAAGAGGAGCAGAAGAGAGGTAACCGGTTACTGGTCCGCCTTTTCGAGGGGAGCAGAAGGGGCTGCCGCTGCTGTTGGTTGCTAACTCAATGAAGAAAAGAAAGAGAGGCGGCGTGTGCTTATGGGGGGGGGTCCTCTTTTCTTTCTCTCCCTCACCTCTTAATCTCTCTATTCCATGAGACCACGGTGGAGTGCTGAAAATTAGGCTACTGATTAAAGTTTTTGACTGTGCTGAGAAGCCCCTGTAAGAAGTGGGATTAGGTTGAAATTTTGCTGCAACAGATTAATTTGGCTACGCCTCAAGGAGTGTTGGAAGGATAAATCCATGGATGGGGTGAGGAATTTCGCTTGCCTTCTTGTCCACCCCCGTGCCTGTCCCGTAATGGCGGCATTTAAAAAACATATATGGATTGGGGGGTTTCTTAGACCAGCGGATATTTTTCAGTGGGTTATATTGCTGCTGCTGCTATTTTAAATTCTGCGGAGGGTTAAAGTTGCCCCTGGCCTTGGGGGTTGAGTGAGGTTCAGGTGTGTGTTAGGATGACTACAAATTGAGACTCTTCGATTGAAGAAGGTGTCTTATGCTTCTGAAGATGGGTAGACTTCAGTGATTTATTTATTTATTAAAACATATTAAAACATTTCTATGCTGCCCCATTCTCTGAAGCCTCGGGGCGGCTCACAACATAAAATTAAAATATAATACATACAACAAATTAACAATATAAAATAAGTCACCCTGGCCATTGACAAGTTCAGTAGGCTAGTGGTGACCTGACACGGGGATTCAGGTG